TATAATTATTCTCTGATTTATTTAATTTTATTCACTTTCGTGTTTTTAAGTTTTCTATATTTGTTTTACTTTATTTTTAATTTTTTGAAAATCACTGATCATAAGTTTTAATCAAAACAAAATGTATTTAATTTCATTTAAAATTATGTAAGTTTTTATTCAAATTTTTTATTTTATTAAAATTTATTTTTTTTAGTGCTATAGATGATTATTTCTTATGTTTATTGTTTTATTTTAATTCACAAAATTATACATTATAAAATTAATTATAATTAATAAAATTAATTAATCATTAATTTGATATAATTTGATACATTTGATATATTAATGATGACAAATGATGAATAAAACAAACACGTGATTAGAAATATTATGGTGTGAAGATATACTATATTATTTGCAGTATTTGACAGTTTTCTCTGCAGATATGTGGATTTTCTATGGCATTGGTATACAGTCTGTGTATATTGTAAGTGGCTGCGGTATTCGGCTAGTCAGATCGATGAAATGCCGTCGTCGTGGCGCCTCGTGAACGCCCAGTCCTGCTGTCTTGACTACATTTGTGCTTTTGGTCCACTTAATGTTTTTTATATTTTTAAAATAACAAATATTGTTAAATTATCCATTTTTAAAATATATATAAATTCGAATACCAAGAATGAAACTAATTCTACAACTGCTCTATCTAATCTTTAATCTTCAATTTACAATTTACAATCAATTTTATTTGAAAAAAATATAATAATTATATTTAGCAATAAAAAAGAAAAAAGAAAATATGTTAAACTTCTTACTTTCCTTCGATATATTTATGTCGAATATAAGAACTAGACAGTTAGAAGAGAATCTATTAATGTTCATTGTGCAGACGATGGTAAGAGGTATGCAAACGTGTTTTATCACAGAGGAAAAATTTGAAATCTTTAAAAGGAGGCCACAGACATTGTACTTGCTCTCTCTGCAAGATATGAAGTGTAAAATAATTCGAACGATGTAATAACGATGCCGATGCAAATGCTAAGGTACTTAATAAGCACAAGTGCACATATTACTGAACAATTTCTAGAATTTTACGCTTCGCCAAATTTTTAGTCACGGACTCTTTAATTAGTATTTTAATTGAGTAAAAATTTTAAATATGCATTTATGTTGAACTATGCTATCTCAGAACTTATATTTTTAAATTTTATTTTTTAATAAGATATAAAATAATATTAAATTCAAATAATATTTTTAATACTTGTTCACTTTTTTGATTTGCTTTTTAAATATTATGCTTTTTTTTTTGTGATGCTTTAATTTTTTTTTCTTTTTATTTTAAATACAAAATTACATAAATACAAAATATTTATAAAAATAAGTATTTATATTTTAAGAAAATATTGAAAATAGAAAATTTTCAATTAAGTAATACATACATCGTTACTTGTTGTAAATTGAATCGTATATACAGATTTCGTGTGCATCAAGACGTCATATGTGTCGTCGCGATATCTTGCGTATGAATGCATTTAGTTACGTCATTGCATAGGGATATAGAATAAGTGCGGAACGTAGAGCGCATCGTCATTACGAGAAGAGTACAGTATCCGACTCGAAGAGATGCTACATATATTTTGGTTTCCGATACTCTCAACACGGTTAGTAAGAAGTGCCGCTCAATACTAGCGCCGCGCACTATGGCCAGCACTGTAAAACTTCCGATTTGTACCCCGATCATATTTGAATTCTATTTAAAATTATATTTTGATAAAAATGTATGAAAATATTATGGAAACTAGAGATATTTAAATAAAAATGAAAACTAAAAATGTTTTACTAATTTGAAATATTAATTAATATTGTATATAAAATATTATATGTATAACATATTTTTTTTTTATAAATTTAATTTTTTATATATATATATATTATATAATTTACATAAATTATAATATAAAATATAATAAAAATTTATATAAATATATATATATTATATATATATATTATATAAATATAAATATATAAATATATA